CCCCCCCCTCCCTCGTTTGATCCACCAGCCCATTTCCGTTTCAATATTTGTCGGCACTACTTGAATCTCAAGATAAATATGAGAAATATAAAAAATAATTATATTGCTATTACCATATTGCATACCGTTTCTTCGGCCTTGAACACTCTTGGCACGGGGATTGAAATTTTCTTATCGTGTCGTTAGGCCTTTTACGTAGGAGCTTTTTTTCGCCCTTCCTTAAGGAAAGGCTCGTTCACTTCGTTTGGCCGTCATTACCGCAACGAAGCATTCATTAGATCTTTATATTTAATCCGAACGAAATGACTCCCTTGAGATCATCCCTCTTCCTTAACCTCATGAAGTTCCTAGAGGAAATGTCACCGGCCTCTATACGTATCCTTACTGCAACTTTCATGAGGCTCGAAGAAATTCTATCTTCAACCACCCACTCCCCCCGTCCACTCCCTACCCGCTGCCACAGTGCTACTCATATACATAGAACAAATTCTACTGGGGGTAAAGTGAAACAAATAAATTCGAGAGGCAGCCTGTAATTCCCGGCGGATTGATTTGAGAAATGTGAAAGCATTAACCCTCGAAAGGATCTTGTTTGAAAATACCGGAAGTTACGTACACAATTATGCGCTTAGTTCGAGTGGACTTTTGGCAAGGCGAGATGACATCTGAGGAAACTCGTCAAAATAAAAGAAGGCTGACAATAGGGTCGTGCAAGCTCAGTCCTCGGCGGTAATTCAACAACTTAGCTCTTTGTGTTGAACTTAAGTCCTACTCGAGTCTCTGAGGCCGAACATGATTCCTGTAGAGAGAAGTAAGCAAGCAAGGAGCTGAGTCAACCTGGAAAGTTGACAGTGGGCTAAAGGCTTCGGCATCTGTCTTGGGACTACCAGTCACTCTTGGTTCAGCGACTAAGGTTACCGTTGGCATATTGCAAAGGAGATCAATATACTTTCGAGCGAGTCCGAGAATTCAATCCAATAGATACTGTGTACATTTAATATACCTTCGCTTTTAATGGTCCTTGAGTATTCATTGAACTTCGATTTGGGACTAGATTCTGGTCGTGCGCTGTCTTTATGTTATTCTTTTTATTTATATTGATCTTGATTTTCGTGAGATATTTTTTTTTTTATTTATTTCTTATAGTCAAATCGTCAAGATAAATATTATAAGCAGGAGCCTTTCTTATCTTGTCAAGTCACCGCGCGGATCATCTTATTCTCACTTCCGTTTTAGCCGCGGATCTAGCGCCCTTCGCAATTTTGTATATTACGTAAAGTTTCACAATTAGTCTAGAAAGTTTCATAATTTTGCAGTTTAAGCGCGTTGTTTTGCGGCGGAAGTGTTGCTATGGCCGGTTTAATTTATCATTCCACCTCTTACCGGTTGCCGAGCCCCCCAAGACTCGCCGCCGCATGGCGAACGAATTAAGCCCAGCCGCGCCCCGCGAAATTGCTTTCGAAGTGTGTTTGCCGTTCTCGCGACTCCTCAGTGCGTCTGCGCTATGGCGATTGCGAATATCCGCGCGGCAAGCTCCTCCAAGTTCGAAGTTGATCTTCTGGTTAAAAAATGCTCTGGACAAAGCAGCTGCTTATTGCACCCTGGTAGAAAGAGGATACTCGATCGAAAGTCATTTCTAAAAGTATCCCCCAATTCAAGAAGGAACACAAAGCAACTCGTCGGCCCGGTGAGAGTGCGGCTTTAAGTTTGCGGCAGATCGATGATTATGTAACCTCTGCTCGAGGTTGAGGCCACGCACGAACTTGGATACAAAAGATAGAAATTTTTTAGAAAACTTGCCAGCTATTATTTCTTACAAATTTGGCACTAAGAGGTCTGGGCGACTCGTGACTTGATATTATCCAAATATTTTTACCTAGAAACACAAAAATGAAAACCCAATGATATATTTTTATACACGGCGTCTGATCCGCATGATTTTTGTATTTACATATATTTAAAGATATACGAGGCAGGGTTAAGTATGACAGTATTTTACTATAGAGGCCTTGTATGCACGATCAACATTATAAATTAGAACTTTTTATACGGCCAACAGACACACAAAATATAGGGAGTGCAGGGGGTGTAGGATAATTAGGAAATAATAATAACAGTAAAAAGATATAAAAATATCAAATTGTCAGCGAACATACGCCCTCTTAGTTTTAGCTAAGACATAATATAATTTTATAATAAGATTATTCATTGAGCTCGTTGCGTTAGCAGCATTTTTTTAAATAGAATATAGACTGTTCAAAGTAATTTCACAATATTCTTTTTTTATTTCCCTACCGTCAGCTCTTTACGAAATTACCCTAAAACAATTCACGGAATTCTCTAAAACTTCATGCTTTGTCATAAATGAAAATATATCTAGACTCGATTACTTCAATCTCTATATTCAAGTCTAGATAACTTTTCTGAATTTATCGTAGCGACCTCAGACTGATACGTAAAAATTTCGTCCTATGGATGGAATAGATCATTATAAAATTCCATTTTGGAAGTGTTGCACGTATACGACAAATGAGACTGTCCATACTTGATATATACAGATTAGTGACTTTTTATAAATCTTGTAGTGATCTTTCCCGCAACAAGTACAATATAATTGCAATAAGAGATTTATTTTGTATTTTTTAATTGACCGATCAAAAATTTTATACCTTTGTACGTATTAAGTCTGGAATAATATCTTTCATCGTACATGAAATACACGTGAAAAACAGGATTTCATATTGATCAATACCACAGATTAAAATTTTCACTCTGAACTGTACGAAAGTTTACAACTAGCTGCATGGATGTTGAACCACAAAGGCTTTCCAACCCTTTGGATTACATCGCCATTATAACTTTCATATCGGTTATGACTTTATTACGACTTGTGGTTTTCAATGTTCTCTTTAGCTTACGTGTTTCCCAATAATGACCAATGCATGCAAAGTATATCGGCTAAGATGCACGTTTGCGGTTTGCGGTATACGATTTCGAGAATTTTACGTGACAATCATTAAATATTTTTTGATTTCGCATATTATTATTGTTCGTTTAATTTCCGTTCGCAAACAAAGAAATTATCTTTGCCATTTTAAATGATATCGAACAAAAATTAAATGCAAAAGTCATGGAGCAAAAAACGAGAGTAGACATAGAGAAGAAGTTCATACGAATAACATACGTAATGAGGGAGACATTGACGTTTGAAATTTGGTAATTCTTTGATAGATACTGGCTTACAGATCTTAACTTCGTGCAGAAGCTTCAAGCCGGACATGCGATTTACAATTGCATTGAGGTACGCGTTTAGTTAGACGCAAATTTGTATACGGTGTATTGCAATGCTATTTTTTGACATTACAGGTTGAAAGTCTACATATTTCGATATGTTGCGATAGATATTTATCAATTTCGTATATCTAATTGCAAATGACTCGAAAAAAATGTCTTTGACATATTCTAACGAAGAAACTAATTAATCGATTACAAATTTTACAAATTTCCTGACTCACAGTCAGTATACATATACATATATGCTTCTCCAAAACTTTCCACGATAATTTTACTACGTCGTAGGAGTGTACGAGATTTACGAGTTTCGCCTGACTGATCTTTCACAAAAGATTATCCCGTTAAGGGTAATGCGAGGGTGGTGCGCTTATACCATATATATGTATAAAATGTCATGCAAGGACAGGAAGAAATTCGAAATATGCTTTATCCGGTCCGGAAGTTGAAACGCAGGGTAAAAATATTAAAGAATTTGTATGTGACATGTAATGCTAACAATGTGAAATTAGTTGGTAAAATTATAATATTATTTCGAAGTAAATGCTTAACCAATTGTTTGCAGTTTCAAATAACAATATCTTCTTATGTTAACTGGAATCTTGTAGCCAATCCTATTAGCCGAATGGTCGGTCCTTCGACTGGAGAGCTCCGAGAATAATGTCGCAAAGGCAATTAAGGGCTTCCACTGTTCCTACTGTTTAATCGTCGTAAATTAGGGTCGGGCCCTCGGTAACCTCCGAGCGACGACGATGATGGCTTCCTAATAGCCGGGAGCGAATTTCGCTTCCTCCTTCGCCATCCAACAAGGATATTTTACATTGACTTCAGTAGATACGCGTATACTATGTATACGCTGTTGCGTCTTAATAAAAATTGCGTAATACGTAGAATGTCAAAACGAATATCTTATAAGGCCTCATCCAAAAAAAACGTACTTCGTCGTTCGCCAGATTGATTAACCAATCTTTAGACAAAGTCTAATATGTATACATATAAAACGATAGTCCTTAGGAATATTCTCAAAAATTTTATCGATTTTGAAAAACGAATTTTCCCGAGCAACGAGCTTCCACGAATGAGCTATTCCTATCTCATATGCAAAACCGTTATGAAAATTTTGGGTTAGAACTTGTAGCTACTCATGGTATAATATTTCCCAAGAGAAAGCCAGGGTCTCCTTTATCGTCGACCCTATTTTAATTCCTAGATATTTCTCAAACAGAAGCTACACTTCCATCGTGTAAATAAATCCCTCGAAACACATTTATCAGTACGGCATGACGTTCAAAACGAAATGAATAGAAAAATGAAATTAACGAATACTATATATTCTTCTGCCTTTCTGATGCTAATTTACGTATTCCTGGCTGGAAATAGACTAGGAGTCTTGTACGCATCTAAGCAAGAGAACGATTAGTTCAAGTGGATCAAGACTCGGCAGCCTCCACTGAATCCTCCCTCTGTTCTTCCTCGGTTAAGTCTTGGCTTAACGGCCGTTCCGGTATGAGCACTGGTAGTCATCGGGAACAATCTTGAATGAACTGGTGACCATACCAATGTTCCTGGCGCATCTCCATTGATCTACATATTGACTCGAAATTCCTCCTCTCGCAGCGTCCCTTGCGCAAGACTTTGGTCTTCTAAGCTCAGAGCATCGCCTTCCCTGTGGGTTTTGAGGATCCCACGAGATAACCGTAGATCCTATCCTCGCTACGGTACTCCGGCTCAGGATTGAATACCAGCTGGGACACATCGGCACGGGATGCACGAGGGTCAAAGTAAACGGGGTTAACTCAGCGTATAGCGAGAACCTCTCCCTATAGGGGTATAAACGTTCACCTTTCCTAACCCCTTCTACTCTTCACTCTACGGTCCTTTGAGCAGAGATTGTTCGCCGATTGACCACGCCAGAACGACTTTACGTGATATTCAGCTACTGAACCCTTCCTGCACCCACAGGCTATTGGCTGATACCACGTAGGTACTAATCGTGTGCGAATAACTATACGCACAGTCGCTTACCCTTTCGTGATCATATGGTCTTTATAATTAGTCGCTTGCTCTTCCTCTTCAGCCGTAACCACCGTCTTGTACATCCTATCTGCCTTTTCCCTCTGTCTCTCTTGGTTTTATGCTCGTGATGGATATTCGATACGAGGTCCTGAGCGTTTACTTCGGAGAGCTTCTATTCGTTGGGAATCATTGGGTAATGGAACAATGATTGGTTCACGTGAAAATAGGGTCAGCGCGAAAAAGATGCCAAGGTCTGAGAAAATACGGCGAGGATTTGCTACCAATGTGAATTCGATTTGCACGTTGAAAGGACCTCCGTTACCAAGGATACACGAGGCCAGAGAAAAGCTGAAGACTTCATCGCTAGAACAGACCCCTACAGGGGGATCACATCCAGATCTGAGGAACGCCGTCATTATAGATATACTGTCGCTTACTGTTCTTTCAAGGATGCTTGTATATCCTATAGGATCTGCACTGTTGATCTGCCTTTAACTTGGAATGATTTCCTATAAATCTTCCTGACTGTTGTGGTGCGGCTGTACCTACTCGCGACGTAGGAGGGATCCTTTGCCAATCTAACCACGAAAATACCGACGATCAATTTCGACGAACCTCCTGGTTCCCCTGGTGGTCCTATCGAATCTTGTCAACGTCGCCCGAGATGAGGTCCCCAAGAGTCCGTTTTCCCGTGGGAGTCCCTATTCAATTCCCTAGGACATTTCTCAGAGAAACGGTACACTTGGCTGGGCGATCAAACCGAATTCCCGTTTGTAGCGAAGTATCTGAATTTTTTAGCTGTCTGAAATTCAATGGCAGTCCTCCCCAATTTATAATATAAGCCGCCCGGTACTTGTGGGTGTGGATATAATCCCAATTAATGTAATTCCATGTAATGAGGAAAATTACTAATTATCTATTCTAATTAAGAGGATTTGCGAATAACCATAATAACCGTTCCTAGCGTAACATTTCCATTGGCATTTATGTGCGTCGCTGTACGGTACGCTAAGCAATACGCGCGTTCCATAGAAAATAATTATTGATCCGGTTATTTCATGTAGATTATATTAATTTTACGCGTCTCGTTAACGAGCTCTTTTTTTATCCTCGAAAATAATAGGTCGTAGGGTTGTTCGTTGTATAAAATAAAAAATAAGTAAATAAATCGGATTCCACCCGACGTTGACGAAGCTCATAGTGGACATTAGAGGACAGGCTCCAATTTCAGTTGGCAAACATAATACCAGTGTCCCGTTTGGTCTTTCCAGAATTCCAGTGGAGTTACATTCCAGTCCCGGAACTTCCTTTCGGAAGTCTAATTAAGGTCATTACTAACCTTAGTTTCTATATTTAGTGCACCATTATACATAGGAGGCGTACCAACTCCCAGGAAATATAATTTTATTTTCGAATTTCATTCTACCGCTCTCCTCAAGGTACAACAAAAGAAGAAACCAAATCACGAAATAGTTTTCTTTCCATTAAATTCTTCTTTTCTTCCCTCTGAAAGCTGCTTAAATATCTTGATAAATGTAAACGCGACTTTAGGGAATAACGAAGATCCTACTGAGTATTACAAAATGATCATATCCAATATTCTGTTACCGATATCCAATGTAAATATATGAGGCGCATCATTAACATGTATCTCAAGCGTTAAATAATTCGTAAATTCATTCTACATAATACTGCTGAACGTTCTTTAAGTTGGATGAAGATGAAAAAGGAGAAGAAACTGGAAAAAAAGAGAAAACCGATCTGAAAATGGATGGATGGGCTTGATGGCGTTTCCACCGAACTGCTCGAATATTGATGAGTGATCCGACCTAGCGTCACATACCTCACGTGAATTCTTATCTGGCTACGACGTGGAATTGATGCGTTGGATTAATGATTATTAATCTAGTTTGCTATCCGAATGGAATGGGAACGATACGTATGGTTCCTTCAGGGATGCTCCTATAGATTTCTCCGTATCCTAATGGTCAATCTTAGTAGTTGGTCGTAAAATCGATCATCGATATTGCTTCCTTGATTAAATGCTTCAGAACAACTGCAGTTGTATTTACGTATTTTTCTCATACAGGATAAAATCGGTAAACGATTCACATTTTCGAAATATCTTCATATGCGCAGATTGTGTATAATCGCTGTGATGCTCATCTAACCAGTATCGTTGTTTAATAATCAGTTCTTCCTGTTTATTCATCGTGAATCCCGTGGCACAGCATTCGAAACGAGACCGCCTGGTACAATAGTGTTATCGCGGTAATTCAATGACAGTCAACGCGTATCCCTGAATATCTCATTGTCACAATGCCAAAATTTTGAAATCCCATGAGTGACTACAACTCTGGGCATATTGCTCTTGCCGTTATACCTCGTGAAACAGATTAGCGTTCGAAATAGAACTGATTATAAATTTAGAGAGTAGTATAGCTGCAAAATAAATGAAGGTAAACAATGAAAATGCAGGTAAAAGTATATAATTTAATTACAAAAATAAAAAATGATCACAATACCATGATACGTGCGTGAATTTTTCAAAATTCAACATGAAGATGAAAAATAAATAAAGTATGCTTCTTCGCTTCAATCAGGTTAATCGTTTAACGTGATCCGTTTTTCTTCTCGATGATTTAATGAAGCCCATAAATTGCAGCTCGGCTACCGCACGAGTAAATCGAGCCCTTGGATGGAACACAGTGTTAAGGAAATTTCTTTTCATTTCCACAAGAGATTCAGATAAGATTTCCTGAATTGAGTAAATAAGGAAAAGGATACTGCACTTGGGCGTCAACTTCCTGTTGCTCCTCAGCCTCCTCGTTTGGGTTTACGATGGTCAGGAACGCCTAGGAACAACATGAACACACGTTAATTCGGCTGGTCTATCGACCAAGTGACCTCGTACAAGAATTGGTCGACCCAAACGTGACTCGAATTTCAAACTCCAAGAAAATCTATAAGCAAGTATCGTACGGATACGTGCCGTAGCTTCGTATTAATGAGCAAACATGCTGATCGGTGTTACCTGAAGCCAGTCATACATGTTGATTAGCTTTCTACTCTCCAAGTGAAGCTTGTATACGATACTAAGATCCGGTAAGCACGGGAGTATCGCTTCGTCGTTTTCCAGATTGCAGCAGGTGCACTTAAAGAGATTTGAATATTTATTGAAAATCGCTTTAATATATTCTTATCTGATATGTAACTTTGAAAATATCTTATGTTGAACCAACCTCTAGATACACCTGGGGATTGTTCAGAGCTGTATGTATGGAGGCTCTTAAGGAACCACGTATATGACATTTTGCTACAGTACCATCGCTATAACAAAATATCTCATTTGCTGGTAGCTGAGATGGATTTTTTAAGTAAACTGAGAATACTTCACGATCTAGATAAACGATTAGATCCAATTGCGCTTGCTTGAAGGGCGAACGAGAATGCTTCTGAGACATTAGTAGAAGTTTCTTTAAATCAAAAATTTTAAGAATAAATATATAAAACCTTAGAAAGTTATACAAAAATATGTAATAATAATTATCATCGAACCTGGCGCAATTGAGCTCTATTTAATTTTTGGTCTGCGGAAAGGATTTCTGTAGGTCCTTCCACGATCTCTAGACTGGCGTGTCTAATAGTATTTATGTGATTTTTCAATTTTTCTTGAAAATCTTCTGGAACTGTATCAACGTTCTCATCGATAATTTCCTCTATAGTCTCCAGCATCGTGAGAAAATCTCCCTTAGAGAGAAACCCAAGAAGTTGTAGACACTCCTTGTACTCCGTGGTTTCCGTCAACGTCGTCGTAACCGCCGTGCCATAGAGTTCACGCAGCTGCAGCGTATTTCACAGAAGGTGACATCGCGATGCAATGTTGTGATTTCGCCAAGAGGAAAGATGTCTATTTACCTGCTTGCCAAGTGGCGCACCCGGCAGCGCACGAACGAGCACATGTAGACACTTGAGTAGCGTTAGAAAAATCCCAATTTTATCGTGAAACTCTTTTATCAGCTTTGCCGTGACATCCTGAAAAATAATAATATTTTTATCTTCTGAATAGAACTTTCATTTTACAGATACTTTACCATTAATTCCCGATTAGTTGGTCTACGCGTTTCCTTGTGTTTACGTGTATTTTTTATGTACTCTACTATGCTTGGGATCTCTCTGATCTTCTCTAGATCCTCTAAATTCAGACCGGATAAAACCTTCTTGACGTTTTCCCGCTGGCAGCAAAGGGCATTAACGTTGTTCCCGTAAAAGTGTTGCATCATGCATAGCTGAAACGTTAATGCTCTTACGAAATCCTCATACTAAGTATAATTATTGATTATTTCAAGGTCTTCCATTTCATTTTAAAAAAGACCTAAAACCTTACAGGAAATTGCTACGAACCTTATAACCTTGTAGAAAGCCATCCACGGAAAAATCATAAAAGAGAAATATATCTATTAGCAATTGAAATGCTCTTCCTGTCAATTTAAACGGCACGTTCCCAGATAATGCTGTACCCTCCAGTATATCTGATAAACTTTTCATTTGAGTTTGTGTACGAAAAACCTGTATATTCATTAATTAAAAAATACAAAATTATATTGTAAGGTGAACGTGAACCAATTAAAAAATGATTACTTGCCTTTACTTGTAATTTCGAAGTAACGTCATACGTGAGTGCTCTGTGCACCGCGTGTAAAGTTGTCGCGACGCCAAATATCAATACGAACTTTACTTCTTTTATATATACACTAAAAAAAAATACGACATTTTGTTTAAAACAATTCAGATGGAATATTCAAAGAAATTTTACCTCAATATTAAAATAAAATCTCTTAATACGCGAGCCGGAATTCTCTCAAAATCCGGAAAAATGATAATTAGTGGTGTATCCGGATCGCATGATTCTTTATACCATAATTTTAAGGCACGGAATGTACATTGATTCTTACGAACTTTCTGTGTCTTATTCTGAAATTATTTATCGCTCATTAGAGAATGCAAATACTTACAAAGACTCAGTTCAATATTTTGTAAAAAAAAAGCTTACCTTATTATCGCCGTTAATCAGTTGATATACCGTCTCCTCCATAACGTTCTTTAAGTTACTAGAGTCCCTAGATTGTATAATCGCAATATGCGGCGTTATCGTTTTAAATCTAGCCGTTAACTTTTGAAACAATATCTCGTGATCAGGTAAATTTACGCCTGGAAATATAATAATAGACATAGAAAAAAAAATACATAAGTGGCTAAAACTGCTGTATGAAATAAAAATTCACCCACCTGTTAATAAAATGGCTGTAGGAATATTATATGATTCACCATCTATCGTATCATAGTCCATGTTAGAAACGTAAGAGTGTAAATCCAAGAGAATTTGTTTAAACATATTGGAATTAATTGCCTGAAAATAAAAAACTACGTATTAATTCCGGTAAAAAAAATATTCAGAGTAACCTTCAGTAGATAACTAACCTCTGCAGCTTTCTGTATGGTAGACCACGTTTGTTTATAAGCAATGTACCACGGTTCATCTTGAAACGCATGTACAGCTTTTTTTCTTTTTTGACCAATCTTATAACTACCCTTGTAGCTGAAAACACCCTATAAAAGTACATAATGAACTTGATACACTGTGGTCTGTCATTTATTATTCTACAAGATTGAACGGATATAACTATCCAACTTCGTTTTTGATTACTAATTCACTAGCAGACAGAGACATGTGTAATAGCACGAAATCATTAAGGGTACCTCCCTTGTTCACTAACCAGACCTAATTTAATGAACGTAAACACGGGCCTACGTAAACGCAAGAGGGGTGTATTAAAGCTTATTTAGGGAGCCACATCACTCAGTTTAACAGGATTATAAATCCTGACGATAAACACGTTTTGCTCTTGCACAAAGAAATAATAAATCGTGTTGTACAATGCAAAAAAGTATTTTGTAAGGGCTTAATAAAAGACTTCGTAAAAATAACGCGTTGTACTAACATAAGAATAAAGGTATCAAAACTCAACGTTAAAACGCGAAGTACATCAAATCTTATAATATATTAAAATATGAGTGCATCATTACCACGAATAACGTGCCAAGTGCTTCTTACTTCTTTCATGCGAAACTTTTACATTTGGAGGTTATGCCGGCATCGGCGCAACAGGTTGTGACATTATATCGCTTACCTTCGAGACAGATACGTTATCCATTTTGTGCAGCAGCCGGGATCACAAAAAGTGCAAACTCTGAAATAACTTGACTAACTTTTATCGCAACGTAAAATGAACATGGACCGATCTAAGCGATTCCGACACAACAATTCACCGGCACTGGACGGCTGATGACTGCAGATGACGCCCAACTGGTTTACAGATGGCGGCAGCTGTCGCGTAACCGTTTTGGCCTTCACTGGAATGTAAGAGGGGGAACCTTTATTTTTAACTACAGCTCTGTATCGTTGGCAGTCGATAAAAATACCACGCGGTAAAGCGTGCATAGTTCCGTGCTATTATTTTTACAGTAAATCTCACCAAGTTTTTAGTAGTATTTAAATATTCCTAGCATACTTCATCATTAAATGCAGCTTCTCATCGTTGGAGTAAAAAAATCTATGAATATATTCTAATAGTTTTATCCTCGTATGTCGTATACAATTTAATTGTATACTCTTCACAGTGCAAATTACTCTACAACAAGATATAACGATCCTATAACGACTTACCTCTTATTGATTTCGCATTATAAATCTGACAATTTTCGAAAGCCGCCTTCGACGTGTTTCATGGTATCTGAATCACAAATTAGAGGAATCCATTCGTAACGAGCAAACAGTCGAGAAGCAGAGAATGAGAACTGTAAGAGGAAGATGTCTATACTTGTATATTGGGTAAGTTGAGGGTGAGCGTCACGAAATGCACCATGTTACGTTTCTGCCAGGGATGCACTTTGGAGCCGAGGACGAAGTTCGAGGGAAACTCGTAATTGATTTAAGGGGTGTCCAAACAAGATGCCACCATGTTCACAGATAGTCTGCTCTCGTTATGATGCACTATTGTGTTACGGACTAGAGGAGTATCAGATAGGTATCCCCTTAATATATACAGAGGGTTTAGTATTTAGCAAGGAAGAGAAAGGTAAAAACGGTGACGTTCAGTCCGTGAAAAATGAACCGATTACAAACAGACTTAACTGGATATACATATAAGAAGAAAGTGAATGAAGCAGACGATCCCTTCTGTATCCACGGTATCACATACCTTCGTAAGGTTATCTTTATGTATTACTAACGTACCTAGTGATGCTACAGAAAGTATAAAAGCTGGTCGCCCAGTATCGCTTTGAAATTCAAGAGCTACGAACGGAGTCCAATTCCGTTTCTATGCAGAATAGAAGCAAAGGATAATCGGACTAAGCGTTGGCACCGAAGGCTTTGTGCTTTCTATTCGTTGGTGAATTAATCACTCGCATCTATAGCCGTAGATGAAAAGAGATGAATTTCAATTGATCGAAAGTTTAATCATTCCCTTTTGACTAAAGAAGAACGCGTTGTTCACGCGAAGGCAAATAAATCTGTATAAACTTAATGGACGAGTGAGAAAAATGAAGGCACAGTCGAAGGACATATAGGTATAGAAACCTGAACCGATCGCCAGTTATTATTAATGAATTTCGTAGAGATCACACAAGTAATCGACGCTTTCGTTCAGTACAGCTGCCAGCTGATAATATTTTGTGGTTATCTAACTCTCTAATTACCCTCCCTTATTCTAATTCTATTCTATATACGTATACTGTATATATGTACACGTTAAAATAATTGTACTCGCATATACCCCCAAGCATATTGTTTGACCCAATTAGTTTTTATATAACGAAATCGGCCGGATTATTGGACGAAAGAGTGAAGTCGGCAAAAAGTATCCATTTATACAGTTAATTTTATCGTTTTTCATTCTGCAAAAATTTCACTGCTCTTGTCATTCTGATTATTCCTATCCTTTATTCTTATACTCGTATATCACACTATAGATTTTTGTATACCCGTATAGCTTTAACCAACTTTGAATATGGGGAGATAGGCGCTTGCGAAATCTTAAACTAATCCAAAATGAAATAACGTACCAATGTACAGAATATTCACTGTGTGTATATAAGGTATGTAACACATAGACTTATGTATATCGCGACAGCTTAAACATAGTAGCCATGTTTGTGAAATATATAATGTGAAAGCAGGGGGGTTGAAATCTTGCTGAGTTATTCGTCCCAAGAAATACCTTATCGTGTAACACGATAAACCTACTTTAGCCGTGACAAACAAACAACTGCTATACTTCCTTTGACGCTACGGTAAAAGAAGTACGCGGGTTAGGTACGTTGGTTTGCCTACTGTAAGCAGCTACCTGGAAAGTCGTATAAAGACGTTGCGTCATTGCTCGCGCCCAGGAACAATGTTAGCTCGCGGCTGGTTGACTCGCTATACCTTAATATATATTATATAGCTATATAGGGTAGTCAAGAAAAGAATTTCTGCGGGACTTTAGAAGCCCTGGCAGTTCACCTGACGACACCCAATTCTAGGAGATCGTAATGAGCGCCATTGTCAAAGTGCTATACTGGGTGTCTGCTAGTAACCGCGAGATGGAAGCTCACTGAGAAAAGACCAAGAGTTGGATAGTGAAGTAAGGTGTGGAACGAAGTCAGGATCTCAGCCGAAATGCATAATCCTCTGTTGAGAGCGTAGAAAAGAAAACTCGAGATTATATAACGCCATGACTCTCGTAACCAGATAATAAACCGAAGGGCTTTGTAGCTTTGCGAAAAGTTTTATCTACTCGTTACTCGACCTTTCTTCGCTGCTTTTACTCGCCTTTACGATTCGCTATGGAAAATTCACAATAGTCTTATTACAGATAGTTCTTATTACTCGCCCGTAAGAACTTTAACCGAGATACCAGAAATTATATCGTCGCTTGAATATAATTGTGCTGCACGTTACGTTACGTGAGTTGTCTATGTGTGTTCTTCTGATTGCAGCTAATTTGGCGCAGACTTTGGAGGAGTTGGGGGATTCTATATCGTCGGAGCTCGATGGAAATCCGCCTTTGTGGGTGACGCGGAAACCAGGACGGAGACATGACGAGATTTATATAAACAATGCGAAGGTTCAACGGAATGCTAGTAACTACGAATCTACCATTACGCTTTCTCCTAAGGAAACGAAGAAACAGGTATGTGTCGTATGGGAATTTACCTAGCCTACAAAAATTTATAATTATGTTGTGGCTTTATCGAAAGTGCAATTTTTTATGTTTCTTATGAATTTACCGAACGGGAAGTAACTTTGGGATTGGAGCTGGCAGTTATAAGCTGCATAACCAAGTGTTAATTCTGTGCAACTTATTATGCCAGTTTATGTCAAATTCGGATCACTCTCTGTGTCTACAATACCGACCGTCGATCTGAGTTCGTACTTTCTGCATGTCGTGTCACCGTCAAATTGACTTAGTCAGTACAATTTTTTAAATGCATTTTAAATGCATCCGCTAGATTGCGTGCTATCTGTAATTAGGAGAAGTTTCCTATTGTTAATAGTTTCTTGCCATAGACATTGTGTAGTAGATCGATTAAAATTTTTTTATTTTCGCAAGAAAGCATTGTCAATGGGAAATTTGTATACGGGGATACTAGGTGATTAGAATTTAAAATGGTTGTCCCCGAATAATACTCTCGGTACGTCAGTACTGATAGGGCTAACTGCATTGCACTTACAGATGTGAATATTTACTCTACGTATATTTATTATGTGTTTTATTTCCTACCAAACCATGTTGAATATCATAGCAAGTTACTTAAGGTGTCCTCGGGTATCTTACGCGTCGTGTGCAAAGACTCGCTTTTACGCGATGCGGTAGGTTTGCGGCACGCCTCTAACGAGCTTTTAATGAGCTTTAGAAGCTTACCTTAGCCGCAAGACCATTAGACCGATGGATATCGGTAGTTTTGGTGCCGTCGAACCTGATGAACGAGTTGCTCGTCAATGTTAGTCCTTCAGAAAGGAAATCGTCAGCAAATTTTATCACGACTGAGTCCACGTAGCAATAGAACGGAGCTGGTATACCTATATATATTTAGGAATAATTAACGTTATCGAAATCCGATTAGCACTATTATCTTGGGTGGAGAATGTTCTAGTTCTACGAGATTCCGCAAGAGATTCCACGCCCTTGAATTGATACAGCGTTTCTTAATGTTTTCGGACTGAAAAGGTGATTTTGGAAAAAGTTGCATAATCCTATGGAGAAAAAAGTTAAGTAGAAATATATTTTTTCTATGAAATATCTTAGTTTGCCTACCGAAGTCTTATTTTACGTGGATACAAGGTCCAATGAGTAAACTCTGGATGGGATTCGATTGAAAGAGCCACGACGGATTCTCAAGGCGGAGGAAACGACGGCAAAAGTTTTCACCTGCCTGCGGCAATTGACGCGGTTGAAATTTCAAAGGGAATTGCGACGATTAGTCGCCGCGTTTGTCGCCTTGAAAACTTTCATCGCGAAAGAGGAAATTCTATTGTAAGTTTCGAATGCTGCTGCTCCAGACCCGACAGCCACAGCACGAAAAGTTCTGAACACAAAGTAGACATACTGGAAGTATCTACTGCTATCTTATGGTTACTGATTGGAATCGATGGATTTTCATATTTTCTTAATTATACAAAACACCTATGAAAACTAGACACGTGTATATGAAATACGATCACCATTAAATCTTACTAGATCTTGTAAAACTTTGTATTACAGTTAATTATAATATTTTTGTACAATTATTTTCTCCCCAACGGCTACTTGATCTCTTGGTAATCCAGACATGTTCCTCGTGTACCATAGATGCATCATAATGAGGAGTATTTTCTTTAATTATTTAAAGACAAAGGAAGCAACTCATTAGACAAACCCCAAGGGCTACAACAAATATTTTTCTAAGGGGCGTATAATGAGATGAAAATCCAAGGATTTTCCAAGATTAAAAACCATGACGACCCCGAGCTCTTACATCGAGAACATCGTATCCAGCTTCCTCTGGTACATTAAAACCGAGAATACACAGTACGCTATTCTTTTTTATCTCTGTGGGTATATTTGAGGCAGTACAATGAAATTATATGAACTTATCGCGATAGCGCCCTCTTTAAAGTCTAAATACAGACCCTTCCGAAAAGGGTTTAAGGAAAACGGAATGAACATCCTTTCTTAGTATAATCATCCCCTCGCGGACGGCCACGAGACGTTCTGTCTCCCTGAGGCTTTTACAAGCCCTCGTCCTCCGCCGACCCTCTTAGCTTTATGCAACCCTCTCATCGCAAGATACGATTCAGCCAGGAGTCCTTGATCGCTCGTAAACCATCCCCCACATTGCGGGAACGTCCCTTACGATCTTTTTCATAAGTTTCGTTGAGAGAATTTTTCATTATCTTATTTGCTCGTCCTTTCTCTTTTTATGCTTTCCTTTCTTCGTCGACAGGATGGAGTACCGCCATCCACCCTGTCCGACGTGACAGTTAATGGAATGTGTCGCTCCCTTATATTTTGTTTTTGATTTCGCTTTTTAATTCGTTTCCGCTTCCGGAAGGAATTTCACGTTTTCTCCCTTTCCTCACGGCTATAATCGAATATCATGCTTAGCTTGTATATCTTATATAAATTTCTCTCATTCTGCTCGGTCTCTGTATGATTCTTATTAAGGAATTTATCCTGTACAATTTTCAAACGAAGGATAAATTCCGTTTCACAATTGCTCGTACTAGTGAGAAATATTTTTGAAAGTAGAATTCGTTGTAGAACTACGGCAAGGGTGCTTTTTCATAGTGTAGATATAGATAGGTATATACATATATGCTATTTAATTTCCTCTAAAGCTCAATCAATTGTTGACTCAAATATTTCGTTCGCTCTTGACAACATCCCTCTAATGGAGTATATGTATGTATGCAGAGGATAAATTCTTTTAAAAATTCTTTAAATTTCAGGGACAAAACTTGAAAGCGTGGATATAGTCGTTAACGGTATTAAGGGGGCTAACTCAAAAATTCGTCTAGATATTCTACCCTCGCGGAATTTCGTTCGCCCATATTTTTACGTAGTCGAGTATTTCAGGAACGCTGTGAGATGTGAAACCTGACTTGCCTGGGGGGTTGGAAAGAGGTTGACAGAGTGGGTGGTTGCAGTGGGGTGGCTCGAGTTATTTCTTCGTAGAAATACATGGGGCACACATACTAGACACATGTTTACAATACGAAACCCGTATATACTATATAGATGTAATGTTTGACCCTTGAAAACATCCCTTTCGTGAATTCAAAGATATGCAAGACTCGTCTATATGTACAGAGAGACAAAGGTTATGAAAAATTCTGAAAATCGTATAATTCTGCTGGTACAATTATTACGCATTGTTTTCATTCTGCATTTTTTTTTCGTTACAATTTATGTAAAGGTATGCATGGATGGCGGATTTTTTTTTTAATAATTCAAATAATTTACTTGCTGTAAGAGTACAAACAAACGTGGCGGTGGTTATTCGTGTCTGAAAAAAGTCTGAATGAATTTTATTTTCTTATTCGCTTTATCGACACTTAAAACCCAGTTCCACCCACGAGCTCATGACCGATCGATAATTTAACTTCTTGATACGACGTCTTCCTAACATTTATTACACATATAATGTTCGGATATAAAATTTGTCAAGATTTATTCTTCGTTATTTTTTTTTTACGTTTTTCAATATTTTCTACATTTTTTTTTTTTGGGCATCATATTGAATTCTCAATGACATATATGCTTTGAAGATAAATGGATTAATATTCCACGATATTGCGAGATCTGAGAGATATCCTAACCAATTGTAAACAAGTATTAACATACTTACCAATTTCAGGCTGAGTGAAAAATTTATGAGAAACCTTCGTTCGTTGAAATTGCACTTCGAAATTTTACACGGAATAAACGAAAGCTTTGTCTTTGTCGTGAAAGAGCCTAAGTGACTTTTATAGAATATGAGATTTCACGATGATCTACGTGAATATAATTCCTTTGAGATATGCTAAAATATACGAAACGAAATCAGAACCTTGTTAAAAATACAATAAGAATCGTATGGCATCAGTTATTTTTGACTATGTCACCGTTTCGGGCGTAGAAAATAAGAAACAGCGTGTTCTGCGTAAGGATGAATTGTGCGAACTACACCACCCTATTCGATTTAATGAATCTTGAAGTGACCTTAAAGGGGATGATACGAGGTGCAGGTCAAAATAAACCGAATGAATAAATGGCCAATAGCAATTCTCAGTCTAGTTAAAGAGCATAGGTTGGCAAGAAGTAAGAAGAAAATGATCTTTCTGACTTTTCCATTCTTTTATTTTCAATTATTTAAGTATCGTTCCGCCCCTTAATTCAAACGTCAATGGAAAACGCGAGAATTTACGAATTACGTTATTCAAGAAGCTCTCAATACTTACTCACAGTGTCATTCGTGTGATAACGATGGGAAGTGTAATCTTAAAAATCCATCATCAATTTAAATTCTTCACATCTCTTAGACACCTTCCTTATTCAGTTCATCGTGTCAGAGTATAAAATGGACTGGATCGTCGCGCAAAACGCGAATAAAAGGTCGGAAGGGCATTGCGGCTCGTTCTCCCGTAAAAGCGGCCTCGGCCGTGACGATCGCTTACAACACGCTTGAATGAATGGCAAATTCGGCCTTTTAATGGAAATTACCAAAAGCGCCGATTTCACCCGGAATACTCTCCGAAGCGGGATGATTTAGAAGGGTCGATGTTGAAACGAGTGAAACGTGAAAGTTGGCGGCGCCTCAGCGTCTCGACGCCCACACCTTAGTAACACCTCCCTTATCCAGTGCAATGGACTATACAACCATATTCCAAACCTATTCGACGAAATCGAATCGTATTGTACATTTAATACAAAAGATAATAAAGTCGATACCCTTTTTTTTTAATTTCAACTTACAGCGACAGTAGTAAAAGCTCGTTGAAGCCAATTGAAAGTCTGCTAAAATCTATAGCGTAGTACAAGATATTACAAGACGAGATGAATTTATGAACTTTCAATGTGTCATGGAGGCTTTTAAAGACAGCCCAATGAGATTCGAATACGACCAAGATTAATTTCACATGCCAATCGAATAAAAGAAACGAGAAGCTCAA